AATAAAGGAAAATCAAACGCCAATTTCAAAATTTGGTTTTGCGCATGCGCAGTGCAAACTTTTTTATTTATGGAAGAATTTAAACGAAATTTGATACATAGGCACTTGGGATAAAGGAAAATCAAACGCCAATTTTAAAATTTGGTTTTGCGCATGCGCAGTGCCAACTTTTTTATTTATGGAAGAATTTAAACGAAATTTGATACATAGGCACTTGGGGTAAAGGAAAATCAAACGCCAATTTCAAAATTTGGTTTTGCGCATGCGCAGTGCCAACTTTTTTATTTATGGAAGAATTTAAACGAAATTTGATACATAGGCATTTGGGATAAAGGAAAATCAAACGCCAATTTCAAAATTTGGTTTTGCGCATGCGCAGTGCCAACTTTTTTATTTATGGAAGAATTTAAACGAAATTTGATACATAGGCATTTGGGATAAAGGTAAATCAAACGCCAATTTCAAAATTTGCTTTTGCGCATGCGCAGTGCCAAGTTTTTTATTTATGGAAGAATTTAAACGAAATTTGATACATAGGCACTTGGGATAAAGGAAAATCAAAGGCCAATTTCAAAATTTGGTTTTGCGCATGCGCAGTGCCAAGTTTTTTTATTTATGGAAGAATTTAAACGAAATTTGATACATAGGCACTTGGGATAAAGGAAAATCAAACGCCAGTTTCAAAATTTTATTTTGCGCATGCGCAGTGCCAACTATTTTATCTATTGAACTATTTAAGTGAAATGTGATACTTAGGCGCTTGGAACAAAGGAAAATCTAACATTAGTTTTAAAATTTAGGTTTGCGCATGCGCAGTTCCAACTTTCTTATTTAGAAAAGCATTGAAATTAAATTCTTCTCATAAACTGAAATTGAAGTAGCACGTCAACAATGGATTGCCCATGTGCAACGCTATCTTTCATATTTGTGGCCGGATTTTTACGATTTTAACAGAAGTTGCTTCTTACAAATGGGAAATGAATGCAAGTGGAAATGCGCTTTATGTAAATCGTTTACGATTACTTTTTAACTTGTTTACTTTGCAATGAGTGCTACTACTGGCCAGGTAATTCCATCGTTCGCACTGAATATCCGTGGAAGTCTAGAGTGTTAACAAATATGCTTTGAAAAGAGCGCTTTTATTGGTCGCGTAAGTGTAGTGATCGTATTTAATATTCCCAGAAGACATGTGTGAACAAATGTGTTCTCAAATTTGATTTATCTTGAGTTGCGTAAATACACTCCGGGACATTTAAAATCCTTCGAAGCTTTGTGTGTGTTAATATGTTCTTTTTTAAACTGAATATGCGAATAGTTGCGGAATATCACTGGTCACATTTTAAGACGTTTTAACAATAAATTTTACTTTTTCTGGAGTTCTGAAAAATAATTTGATTACGTTATAAGTTCTTGTTTATATATTTCCTTAAAACTTAGGTACGTCTGTTTCCGATTAATCGCACTAAATACCCTCAACGGTTTAATTGATTTTACAGCAAATGACAGTTAACCATGACATGACGATCGTATTAAGTGCACTTTAATAAATATTACCAACTGAAGAACGCGCATAACCCCTTCTCTCCAGCGGAAACTAAAAAAACGATCGTTTTCCCGTGCATCGAGGATACTTGAAAACATTATCTTTCCATACAATGAGTACAAAAATAGTTATTTCACCAATAGTCGTAGGTGTACTAATTCTGGGCGGGTCTAAAAATGTCCGTACTCTAATTTTTCCTAGCCTTCTTTCTATTTTTACATTTCATTTTTCCTCTATTTGTGCCAGCCTTTTCTTTTCACATCCTCCGTCTTCCATTCTTCATCATCGCCATTTTGTGTTTTTCTCCTTTTCAAGCCTAAATTTTTTCAGTTTATATATCGTTTATAGAAATTCAGCTGAAGCCTATTTGAAAAAACTCGAGACAAATAATTCGTTGCACTATCTCTTCCTGTAATGCCTGTTGTTTTTCTACTTCTGCAGCAGCCCCTGTAATTGCGCTGGTAGCGGAAGAAAATATCGTCTTCAGGATAGCTACGGTTTTCAACAAACTTTCAAGGATCACATTAAGAACCTTGAACACGTTCTCGTATGATTTTAAATTTCACACGACCAGTACCGTTGGCGTATATAGAGACACAGTGCAAACAAGTACCGTTGGCATATATAGAGACACCGTTCGAAAGTAGGTATTTGCACCGTGAAACAATGGGGGTTACTGTTACAATACATTAAGTTTCGATGTCAACAATTTAAATTTTGTGTTAAATTAGCTTTAGCAAGATAGCTTTTTAGCGGTTCATGCAGGTTCATTTTGTGTTTGAGGTCACTTCGCTTTCTGCATGCATTGAGTTAAGTTGAATTTGGTCTAATTTGTGCCATTGCCCATTTTCAAAAAGGTAATGTACTTAGTTTTAATTGAAATTAGTTATATTGTAAATTATGTTGCCTTGCTGTTTGTAACTCAGTTTGTAAGTGATTCTTGAATTTGTATTTGCTGTAAATGTAATTGTTATTCCTATTTTGATTTGTTTGTAAATGGCCAGTTAAGTTTAATATGACGGCGTCAATTCTTTGGGTTCGAATCTGCCTTTTTGAGTGTAATTAATTTTTCGCCCTCGCAGAAGTAGGTGCTTAGCGGCATTCATCTCGAAATACAACTTTAGTCTAGGGTTACCGTATCCAGGACCTTAGATACCTTCTGGATTGGAGGAGGTCCGGCTAATTAACGATGCATTTTATGTACATTTTGCAAGATACTTCGGAATGTTGTTCTTCACAAATGGAAAGGGATTGGAGGTGCAGATTTTAAATCTACCTAAGCTGGCCTTTCTTTAGATGATCAAGTTTTATATTAAATTAATATCAGATTAAAATTTTTCTGTAACATGTGTTTACCATATTCCACAGTTACCTCTCATGCTGCAGATGTTCCCTCTATATTTTACCTCTATGAACAGTGATTCGGAATTTTCTTTAGCGCGGCTCTTTTATCCGATGAGTTCTAGGAGAACACGGCATTCTTTTGACAATAAATGTATTCTGTCTAAATTTGCAGGAACTCTTTCTGCTTTTTGATTCATTTTAAATTTTTGACCAATAATGAATAAACTTTCTTTTGCTCTTCAAATTTAATAAGTGTATTATTTGCATTCCACCTTTCCGATAGTAAGCTTGGATACGAGTGATGCAACCTGGTCTTTCACAACGCAGGGATCCGGCCATTGTTGAGTGCGAGGTTAGTATTACTACGCTGGTGCTCCGAGCTCGTGTTTTTCCCGCTTTTGTGAGCGCGGGAGCTGTCGACTACGCACAACGTATTTCAGAGACTCTGAGATACAGACCTAAAGCTGAGTTCCAAAAAGTGCAATTTCTTCCGACGTCTCGTACGATATTCTGGGACATTGTATTCAGTGAAGGAGTTTATGTTGACCCAGAAAAGACAGTAGCGATCCAAGATTGAGCTTCTCCTAGGGAATACAATCTCCCGGAAAAATTTCGATCCCGGTATTTGCGTATCTATCATTAGATGTTAATCCCGTGGAATCCCGCAAAATTATAAATATGTTGGGAATAATCAATTTTTTCTATTTCGGTGTCACAATGATGATTTTGTACAACTGTTTTCGGCCGAAAATAGTTGTACAAAGACAGTGATTATAGTCGTTTTTTTTTGGGAACTCATCTCTTAAGTTGGCAGTTACTAGTTAGTACAAGTAGGTACTTCGTTGGGTACTTCCATGTTTGAAGTTCAAAATGTCAGTCTTACTACGCTACCAACCTAAAACTTAACGGCATAAAAAGTGTTCCCAACATAAAACATGTTAGTTCTAATGTTCCCTATAGTTTTTGATAATGATTTTTTTAATTAAATTAAAGCACTGAAATAGAAAAAATAGTATGAAAAACGCGTGTTACAATACAATGCTTTATTGTAATACTTCTATCTTGCGGACACTCGTGGCTACGCTTCGCGTCGCCACTCGTGCCACAAGATAGTCGTATTACAATAGGTCGCATTGTAACACTTGTCTTTCAATATACTATTGTGCGGTTAACCGAATATTCCCGAATAAAATACATCGTATTTCACGAAAAGAATGCGTCACATCCGCCTTCGTTTCTTGTCGCTGTTGACTAATCGCTTATGGTACCTTCATGTCTATCTGGATTTCTAGAATATTCGGTACAATATTTTAACAACATAAAAGTGCAAAATAGTCAAATTCACAGGGCTGTGACTGTATGAAAAAGGGGAAAGTCAATGCCCTTACGATTTACTAACGACCTGTAATAATCTGTACTTTTCCGTTGCACGTTCTATCAATAAATTACACAGCGTTGTGTCCCTGGTAAGCTTGGTCCATAAATTTCGCAATCTCGCAAATTCCGCGGGATCCCGTTTCATTTATGTGCGGAATTAATTCCGCAAAAATGCTGCCTTACGTTACCTTAACATTCCACACTCCAAAATGGAACAAATCGTCAATAACGTTCAGTGCCTTCAGCAGGCGTGCTCGATTAATACTCTTCAGTGCAGCCTCCCCTTATAACATGTCAATTTATCACATACGAGACCAGACTTCTCTACTAATCACTTTGGCATCGATGTTGGAACTTTTTACAGCACTTTTCAATACGGAAAGTTTCTAAAAAATCTCGGAACCTTCCCAAAGGGTCTAGAAGGCGTATCAAATTCCTAGGAAAGAATGCGCCGCATCCGGTTTTATTACTTATCGCCGGTGATTAATCTTTCTTCAACTTGGTGCCGCCTGCTGGTGCCCCTATGTCTGGGATACTCGCTACTGTAATTTTGTGTGCGACTGAAAAGTTGTGTCACGACATTTTAGACAAAATCATGAACACAAAAAAACCAAACGAAATCCTTTTTTTTCTCTACTGAACGAAATGCTTCCTTATAATTAACAATAGTATTACAAAAAAACTTAAAACTAAATGTTAGTATTATGTACAAAAATAATTAAAATCAATGCAGTATATGAAAAAGAAATTATAGAAGCATTCGAGGTAAGTACGTAATGGATTTTCAAAAATTTGATGTGCATGGTAAAGTTCAACAGATAGCTGGACAACGCTTGTTTTGTGAAGGTAAGTATGATTGATAATGATTGGACGTATCTTTGACCTTTTGTCTTTACAGCTCCAACCTCTCAACATGTGAAATTCCTCTGGCTATAAAAGATGTACATCCGGATTGGAGGGATGCTAATAGGTGGCAACAATGTAGGCTCCTGACTGGGAGATGATAGTTCTGACTTCTGACCGTTACTTTCGATATTTTTTATATCGAAATAAGAAAATCGGGAAATAGCTAAAAGAGTACTTTCAATAAAAACTTATTGCTTACATTTCTTTTACTTACGGCTTATGTCCAGCCCTATTTCGTCTTGTGGAAAAATTTCCACTAGTGACAAAATTCAAATGATAAAAAACTGGTACGCTTCTGAAACGGATTACATTTAAATTACTTATTCCTTAGAATTAATTTACTTACGCTCAGAAGTCAGACTAATACTTAATTAAATTAAACAATTGATCCGTCAATTGACGACAAATAATTTAAATTATATCGCATACGCAATACAACTGCAATCGCTGAATAACGATAAAAATATGTTTTAAATTGTTGTAAATTTCCCAAATAAAATAATGTTTATAACAAATAACAAGAATAAACCTAGTAATGCCATCTATATTGGATGTGTCCATTTTTGTAAGGGAAAACTGTACAGTAATCCGTTACAGTTGGCAATAATGTTTCTTTGTCATTTTAATCAGCCTCTTTTCATGTACGAGTATATACTGAAATTACGTCAGTCACATCGTTTTTTTATCTTTACGAGTTGAAATTTCCACTACTGTACGTATTCAACGTAACAGTTTCTAAACTAATGCTTTAATTGACATTTAAAACCTTGTTCGTACTTAATTTCGCTACAATTTCTCGGCAAGTAATATTTGCAGGTGGTCGGCTTAACTTACACTGGCTTGACACGAATTCTTTACACACAATAAAATCTACCCTACGGTAAATTGCAGTTCATTCACGACTCCACGCGAGTTTTCTAACAAAAAAATTCAAATACACCCTGCGCTGCTTGACAAGTGCTTTACCCAACTTCGCTACCTGACGGTTATCGACGCGGAATCGGACACCATTGCGGTTAAACGCAAATTCTCTCGCGGCTTAATCTCAATTGCCGACGGCTCTCTCCGAACAACCAAATACCCACTACTTTTCCTTTTGGTTGACACCCATTGTGGGACGCACCATTTTTTTCCATCAATATAGACTAAGTTTTTCGTATTCCTTGACACCAATAACTCACCTCCAGATGGAGTGTTCCTGCTGAATCAGTAATTCCCACGCTACTTAACCAGCTTGGTAAAGACGGGTATGACCCTTGCAAAATCGACCCGTAATTCTAATCTCGTCATTTCCGAGACTTCTCGGCGCTTCGAGCCTTCACACGCATCTCAAAAGACAGGATCACATTCCATGATATCAGACACAGTTCAAATAGTTCCACCTCGATGCCCATCCAGGTGGCATTATCTTACCCATCAAAAAATCAGACGAGTTGTGTCATTAAATTTTCAATCGGGATTTTCTCAACATCAGTTCAAAATGACCATTTCTGGTGGAGCTCTATTTATAATGAAAGTTATAGTGGTAAGAGATTTCCGACATCCTAAAATACTGATACATTGTTAAGTAGTTTAGCTCATCCCACGAAATTAAAGCAATTAGTTTATCGAGCAGCGTTTAAATATACATAAATATGGAGTTAGTAAAGTTGTTTGGAAATACGCAAATTATTCCAAAGTAGCTCGTGTGTAATATTTAATTATGCTGGCCGGCGATACTAGTTTCGAAGTTGTTTTCTTATTGGTTTTGGTTTTCCGCCACCCATATCGATTATAAACTTGAAGCGATTCCAATTTAAAGTGACTTCATTCAATTTCTAATTTCATCATCCGTGGAAGTAATTCAATCGAATTTAATGAGTGCTGTTCTTCCTGCTTTTTCTGTTTAGGTGCATTATACGTCGCCATGCATTATGCAAATGCAAACCTACAGCATCTAATTATAATAACATTTACATGGATAAGATGTAATTTTTGTTTACGTTCATCGAGACGTATAAATTTGAATAATTCTTCTAATATATTGTCCTTTGCTAATTATATGGGCGGCGGCGGCGGTGCCGGTGACGAATAGATCATGGGTGGAACTGGGCTTGATGAAAAATCATTAGAGAATCTGCCGTGTGTGTAGACACTACACTCACTGAAGTGATAAGGATGCCCTATGGCTACTAACATAGCACTCGTTATTTTTTAATTTCACTTTAATGACCTATACGCTAAATGAATGAATAAGACACAAACACCATCTTTATTCCACGTATTTTCAGGTATCAGGTGTCTTTTGTACAAAGACTACGAGGGACTGCATAGAGTAACTGCGGTGATGTTGAAAATGCGTTTTTTAAGGTTATTTGTAGGTTAAATATTTTTTTATTTTTTTAAAATGCAAACTTCCATAAAAATGGAATATATGACAGGCACACCTTCCCGACAACTTGAAATGTGAACTCACGATATAATGTATCCCATAACGGACTGGTGGCAAGGATACCCGGCTCTCATCCAGGAGCCTCGGGTTCAATTCCCGGCGTGGGAAATAATTCTTTGCACAAATATACGTATACCCGAACCCATCATAGCTTGGACATTAGGTTATTCGTAAGTTTAAGATAGTCTTAAATTTTTTGAATTAAAAAAAAACGAGGGTACATATATGTGCATGACTAACGTCATCGCAGTTACTCTCTGTAGCCGCTCATCAAAGAGTAGCTACCAGAGTCAGATGAAATGGAGCTTCACCACTTGTTCCATCGCACAAAGTATATCGCTTTATAATTATTCTAATACAACATGGTCAAAACGCATATGATCAATAATAATTTACTTCTGGTATGTTTTCTCACCAAAATTGATAAATAAATAAAGATACCAGAGAAGTAATTACGGTACTGTAACGGGAGATCTTTATCGTATTTACTTAATTTACGTTTTTCTGAAATTTCTTCGATTATTTACGGACGAAAGTTCTTGAGCACAGCCCTGCTAAATATTTGCATATCATATCTTGAGGAATCATACAGTTGCGAGATAACATAAAATTATAACATTAGAGTGCAGCTGAATTACATCGTGTCATTAGTAAGAAAAACAGCCAACTTTCTAAATGTCTTTTGAACCTTACTAGAGATCACGTCAAAGTAATTAATTAAAATAAGAATTGGTCTTGAGCCGTCGTAAAGATCACGTCAAAAATAACAGTAATTGTTAGACTCGCGTTGGAGCTTCTGTGAGCTCAAGTTAAAGATCCGTAACTAGGGGACTTTCCTTGCGTAGTAATCAAGTTTAGAGTGGCAGGTACAATCATGACACAAATAGTTACATCTCGAAATTACTAGTTCCAGGACATAGATTACATATAGATCTCCCCGAGGTCTGTGCGTGTTCTAAAAACAACAACGAGCATTCCTTGAGATACTGAAAGCCGAATCTTTCGCAACGAACCCAGGGTTAACTTCAATAAACAAATTTCCATTTCCTCGAATCCTAATTTGAGGGCGATCCGGTTTTCCAAGGTTGTACGACTAGAGGGTAGTTTTTCGACATCTTATAAATAAAGTAATGTGTTGATAAAGTGGCAAAGAATCGTAGATGCGGAAGATTTTAACTCTTTTTTATTTGTGGGATCTGTCAGGATTTTAAAATATTCACAGGTCCAAGTGTCACGTTCCACTTGAAGAAAAAGACAGACTTTAATGCATTTTCTAAAAGTATTAACAACGCTATTACGGTCACTTTCTCACTTCAAGTATTCCTGTGAGTTCCCTTAGTCTTGTACCTCTCTCACTATCCTACTTGTGGTAAGCCTTACCGTGGCCTGTTCTTGTTTGTAACAAAAAAAATGTCTTGATGGGTCCCTTGACGAGAAGCGTGTGACTTCGTTCATTATCCTTTTTCTCCAATTAAATTAATACATACATATTGAAGCTGGCTGAATATGCTTTGCATCAAGCCATTAAAAAAAAACCAGTTTTTAATATTGTTGTGTAAACTACGCCAGATGAACGTTTTATTTGACATCGGCAGCAGTAATGATGGGTCACCCTGTATCTCTAAGTTCAACTTTTATTAATGTTCAATGTGGTCAAAAGTTAGGATTAAACGTAATTCCGATCATGTTATTTGATACCTTAGTCGATTTTGTTTTGTATCAGAATTATTAGTTCTTAATTTTGTTTAAATAATTGCCTTGTTTATTTGTAAAGAAATTGTGTGTTGTAGATTTAAAGATCTGGAAATTATTTGCGTAGTAATTGTGAGTTTATCTCATGTTTCTCTCCGGTCGTAGATAAGTTTTCTTATCGCTACGTACGTTAATTAAATTTCAAGGTAAGGAAGTGTTATCGCTTTGGAATCTTGAGTTAATTATGGCTACTTTTTTTCAAATTAATAAAATTTACGTTAATATCGAGATTTTCGTCGTGGCGGAGGCTGGATGTGCCTTAGAAAAATCATGATTTTTTCTTTTTTAGGTTTGTTAGTACGTAAGGTCTGGTAAGTGGATTGGATAGGTCTTGGTCATGGATGGCATAGTGGCCATTTGCATTTCACACAGCAATATCGTTAACGTTTTGTTACTTAATCTAACAAAATTCTAAGCAATGGTGCCTTTCACTTAAGCCTCCAATCCTTACCAAAGTATTTAGTTTCAAAGTTTAGGAGTTTATATGCCTTTAAAAGTATCTGGAAAGATACTGATTCAGAAAACCGTTAAGAGCATTCAAAATATTTAAGAATCTCTAATAGTCGACCTTGGCGAGCATTGGGAGTCTGTAAAAGGTTTCAAAAGTTTCCAAAAGGAATTTAAGTGTTATAATGATCTATACGGGTTGTGCTATAAAGTTATGTATTATATACGACGATAAAGGGAAACTAACCATCTTGTAAACGTTTAATCTACGAAACATCTTCCACTCGCCAGATGTGAAACACAAATTACGATTATTCACTCGGACCTTCTGAATAATAAGCGTCATAACATGCTCGTAATACGATCAAAGGAGATGTGCGAGCATTTTAGATTGGAATCAACAAAACAATTAAGCACGGTTAAGTAAGCACCGTATCGACGGTATCCGCGACTTTCCTTTAACGTACCGATCACTGCCGAGTAGGTACAGTATTAATAGTCGTCACATGATGTGACACTGTGGCCTTTTGGTCTTGAACGAAACTCGTAACGTTGTCGCCATATACGAAAACATTAACAATTCCAATGTTAACAACTATAGGCATTTAGTCTTTAAAACTCATTAAGAACATTAGCATGTTAGAGTGCCGAACCTTGAGCCCTTT